CCCCGCAGTTGCCCCTCTGCTTCTGCTTCCTTCATTCAGGCCTCCTCAAGGTGGGATGGAGTGACAACAACCATCTCCCCTTCCTTCCTGCCCCAGAGCCCTGCCCCGAACCCCCAGCCCACCCGCTCAGCCTCCTTCTAAGGAATTCCACCCTTTTCCTGAGAGGATGGGTAAGGAAGATGAGCTTTGGGGCTATTGTACCCCAAGAGCAGCTGGATTGGGTCGCCCTATATGTCTAAATTGGAAAGTTTTAGGGAAAGAGTCTGAATATCTAGGTGAAGGGGCTCATGGGCACCCCGCCAGCCTTAGGCAGCTCACCAAGGGGCCCAGGCCTGAAAGAAAGAAATCCACCCCTGAGTAGGGTTGCCGGACTTATCGAGAGAGAGACAGAGAGATAGGCAGGTAGGTAGATAAAGAATACCCAGTTAAATTTTAACTTCATAGAAGCAATTTTTTTAGTCTATATGTTTAGCTACAAATAAATACTAAATATATATGCTAAATAGACATTATGCTGAATATATAGTATATATACATATGCTAAATATATCAATGTAATTATTATATTAAATATAAATCATACTGATTATTTAGTTTGAGCATACAGCTAATAATAAATACTAAGAATATGCTAAATATATTTTGTATTAAACATGTGTACTGTATATATACTAATGTATGTTTATATACTAAACATATGTACTCTACTAAATATAAATAATAGTAAATATATATATATTTTTTGAGATGGAGTTTCACTCTCGTTGCCCAGACTGGAGTGCAATGGTGCGATTTCCGCTCACAACAGCCTCCACCTCTCAGGTTCAAGTGATACTCCTGCCTCAGCCTCCCAAGTAGCTGGGATTACAGGCATGCGCCACCATGCCGGGCTAATTTTGTATTTTTAGTAGAGATGGGATTTCTCCATGTTGATCATGGAGAACTCCTGACCTCAAGTGATCCCCCCACTTCAGCCTCCCAAAGTGTTGGGATTACAGGTGTAAGCCACCATGCCCATCCTAAATAATTTTTTAGTGTAAGTGTTCAGGTAGAAATAAATTAGATAGAAGACATCCAGTTAAATCTGAATTTCAGATAAACAGCTATTGCATGGAATTTCACTGGGCATCCTGTGTCCTTTGCCCTTTGTCCTGAGAGGAGTCTGGGAGGAAGAGGGTGAGCAGCAGCCAAAAGGGGCCTCCTGGACATGAAGTGGCACCATGTCACTTGTGTCCCAGGGCCACAGCAGCCCTGGAATAGAGCCCGGGTCAGTGCCCCTGGGGTCACATGTCCTCTTCGGTCCCTTTCAGCGCCTCTAATAAGAGACAATAGTTTGCCTGGTCTCCTCCCTCTGGACGTAGTCAGGGATGTCCATGACACAAGGGCAGGGGGTGCCCTTCCCACAGAAGCATGTGGAAGGAGCCAGCTGGGGCCATGCTGCAGGAGGGCTGGGCCCACCAGCCCGGGGGTTCGGGCACCCACTGTGAGCCTCTCAGGGGAGCAGAATTTAGCCACAGTCCATTTACTCCAATGCTTGGCTTCTTTGCACTTTTTAGCCAAGAAACTCATCTCTTTGAGGAACAAAGTTTGCTCATCCTTCAAGGGCATTGCAGGCTGAACCGTTTGACATTTCTTGATTGAGCTGCTGTAACTCAGTTTTGAAATGGGAGTGTGGAGGAGTTTCCAGGCGCTCCTGTTTCTCTGGCTCACACCCATGCATCTCTCTGCTCTGGGCTGGGATCTGTCTTGCAAGAGAGGCTTTGTTGTCACCCAGCAATGGGTTAGAAGCCGCCACCCAAAACTCATCAGTTCCCTTGGCTGTCTCAAGAATAGGATGTGAGTTCCTTGAGGGACAGGACTGTGTCTCAGTTCTCGTAGCCTCAAAGTGCAGGACAGTGTCTGACATTAGGGAATCTTCTGGTGTTTCTATACCTTGAAACTTAACGTTATGTTTAAAAAGAGGCTTAACTGAGCTCCAGCCCTAACCCACATCCTGGGTGAAGTTAGCTCCCAGGGCTCCGTGGCAGGCTTTTCTTTGGGCTGCTTGGATGGTCTTGGGTGACGGCGTGAACTCCTCCACACTCCTGCCCTCTGTTTTGAATTCTCCTGATGCTTTGACTCCATGTGCCTTTGACTCACTTGGTGTTGGGTTTTGCTGTTGAAGGTAACGCCCTCCCTCCCAAGAAGATCACGTCCTGGTTTCTCTCCAAGGGGCAGGGAAAGACGCGGGACGACTCTGCTGACTACATCCCCCATGACATTTATGTGATCGGCACCCAGGAGGACCCCCTGAGTGAGAAGGAGTGGCTGGAGATCCTCAAACACTCCCTGCAAGAAATCACCAGCATGACTTTTAAAACAGTGAGCAGCTGGCTGTGCCCCGGGTGGGCTTCCGGGACAGAGTCTTTGCTCAGCTGGGCTGTCTCAGAGGCAAGGGCAGGCTCAGCCTGTCAGCTCTCAGTTTGCAAGGCTGTCTGGGGGCCCCCACTGAGAGATGCGTCTGTATTCAGCAATAAATGGGATCCGTGGGGTATTGCTGGAAACCCCTGAGTCCTCCGTCTTCCCGCCTTTGGTCAGCCCCGGTTCTCATCTTTAGGATGCTTTGTCTCCCCTATCAGGCATTGTTGGGAGTCCCCTGAAGGGTTGGGATTACAGAGTACCCCACACCCAGGAGCTGGGGCTGGGTGCGGATCACTGTGCCCTGGTTCACCCTCTATACTTGAGCCGAGTATTACAACGTTGTCCTCCCACCAGGTCGCCATCCACACGCTCTGGAACATCCGCATCGTGGTGCTGGCCAAGCCCGAGCACGAGAACCGGATCAGCCACATCTGTACTGACAACGTGAAGACAGGCATCGCAAACACGCTGGGTGAGCCGGGCGAGGACCCTCTGCTTCAGCTCACGCGACCATGTCATCCCAGTCCCACTCGGGTTAAAAACGGAGAGCCTTGCGCCCTCAGATCCCTGCTCAATCCTCAACAAATAGGGGTGGTCGGTCTCCCTGGCTGAGACTCACTCAGGGTCTACACCGGCGCTGCCAGGGATCTAGCTAAAATGCAGGTTCTGACTCAGAGACCTTGGGTAGAGCCCAGGGTTCCAAGTTTCAGAAAAGTTCCCAGGCGACTTCAGCGCTGCTGGTTGGCGCGTGGGACCCACTTTAATTAGCGAGAACCTAGAACAGGGATCGGCCAACTTTTACAGGAAAGGGCCCAGTCGTAAATATTTCAGGCTTTGCAGGCTACTCGACACTGCCCCTCTCTGCCTTTCTGGCGGGAAAGCAGCCATAGTCAACCCAGAAAGCAGATGGGAGTGGCTGTGTTTCAATGAGACCTTCCTTATAAGCCCCTGCCCTCGGTCCCTGTACACCAGGTTGGATCTGGAAACGCTGGTGTCAGTGGAGAGTCGCTGACTTTAGAGAGGAGAAACAAGGGCAGGGAGATTTCATGAGTATGGGAGTGTGAGCTGGTGTGTGTGTGTATCTGTAGAGTGTGTGTGTGAGTAGGTCTGTGTATGTGAGTTTGAGTGTGTGAGAGCGTGCATGTGAGTGTGTAAGACTGTGTAGGGGTATGAGAGTTTATAAATGTGTGTTTGTGAGTGTGTTTATGTGAGTCCATGTGTGAGCGTGCACCCCATATCTATTAGTGTGTGAATGTGTGTATGCGAGTCCATGCAGGTGTGTTTGTGAGTGTGTGTTTATGTGAGTCTATATATGTGAGTCTCTGTGTGAGTGTACCACCCCATATCTATGAGTGTATCTCTTTGTGTGTGTGTCCACGCATGTGTTTGTGTGTGCTTCTGTAAGTCTGTGTATGTGAGTTCCTATGTGAGCGTACGACCCCATATCTATGAACGTGTGTCTGTGCGTGTGGGTGAGTCCATGGGTGTGGGTTTGAGTTTGTGTTTATGTGAGTCTAGGTATGTGAGTCCGTGTGTGAGTGTACCACCCATATCTATGAGTGTATGAGTGTCTGTGTGTGTGAGTCCATGCATGTGTGTTCGTGTGTGTTTATGAGAGTCTAGGTATGTGAGGATGGGTGTTCAAGTCCATGTCCATAAGTGCTAGAGCCTCTGTGTGTGTGTGTGTATGTGTGTGTGCACATGGGGCAGTGCACACACAGGGCTCCAGAACTGGCATCAGGGGTGAGGCCAGTGGTTTTTGTTGACTGGAGTTGGTGGAGTCAGGAACAGGACAGAGTCCCAGAGAGAACGGGGAATAGAATTGCTGCAACTGAATGTGAAAAGCTCTCTCAGCTTTTCTGCTGACAAACCGCAAACTGCCCACGTCCACCCCCGCTCGTCCCCCTTCCTTCCTGCCGCAGTGGAAGGGTGGGGCTTCGTGGCTGTCCTGGCTGCACCCATGCCCTCCTGCTGCCCAGGAACTGCCCCGGGTCTGGATTCCATTGCTCCCTGGGCTTCCAGCCCCACTCACCAGCCCCTGCCCCACTGTGCAGAATACGCTCCGACCTCATGGGGCCACATAAAACCACGGCCTCAGCCAGGACTTGCCTGCAGCTACCACCCCAGTTCCTGGTCATCCTGGCCTCGGGGCTAGGCACTGAGTCAGCTCCTGAGCAGGCAGGAGCTCTGCTCATGTGGACTTGACAGCCACTGCATGGACAGACAGGAGGAAAAGAAGCTGTTTCCCGGGAGGAGCGTGCTGACCAAGGAGTGTGTGGCGCAGGCAGAGAGCAGAGGTCAGGGGCCTCCCTGAGAAAGGCAGTGTGGCTGGCATCTGAGGGGCAAAGAGAGAGGCCTCACCAGAATCCCAGCTTTATGACCACTGCAGGGTGTGGCGACTCACACCTGTAATCCTAGCACTTTGGGAGACCGAGGCAGGAGGATTGCCTGAGCTCAGAAGTTTGAGATCAGCCTGGGCAACACCATGAAACCCTGTCTCTACTAAAAAATTAGCCAGGTGTGGCAGTGTGCACATGTAGTCTCAGCTACTCAGGAGGCTGAGGCAGGAGAACTGCTTGAACCCGAGAGATGGAGGTTGCAGTAAGCCGAGATCGCCCCACTGCACTCCAGCCTGGGCAACAGAGTGAGACTCCATCTCCAAAAAAAAGAAAAAAAGAAAATGGGAGCCAAACAGATCATAAATAGATTTATGATCAAATAGGTTACAGTTTGATCTATTATGATTAATAGATCAAATTTTCTAGTAGCCATATTCAAAAGGAAACAAGTGAAATTAATTTCATAGATTTTACTGAACTTCATTCATCCAAAATATGATTATTTCAATAGATATTCAATGTAAAAAGTTATTAGGTATTTTACAGTCTGTGTTTCTTACCAACGCCACAATTCTGATGTGTATTTTACACTCACAACCTGTGTCATTTGGTACCAGCCACAGATCAGGTGTTTGACAGTCACACGTGTCCTGTGCCTACATTGGACACAGCAGGTTTTCACCTGCATGTGGCAGAATCATGTAGAACAGGGGTTGGCAAACATTTTCCAAAGAAGGCCAGATGGTGAACATTCTAGGCTCTTCGGGCCAACAACTCACAGTGCCTCAGCTCTGCCTTCGCAGCCTGAAAGCAGCCAGAGACAGTCCTGAGGTGAATAGGCACGGCTGTGTTCCAATAACATGTTCTTTTTGAACACTGAAATTTGAAGGTCATATTTTCATGCATCACAAAAGATTGCTTTTCTTTTGATTTGTTTCTAACCATTTACAAATGTAAAACCCATTTGTAGCTGGCAGTGAGCCAGCATTCGGCCACCGCTGACCCTGGAGGGCTTGTCAAACAGATTACTGGGCCCCATCCCAGGATTTCGATTCAGTAGGTCTGGGGTGGGGCTGTCCAACAAGTTCCCACGTGGTGTGCAGCTGCTGGTCCGGGGAACCCCCTTTGGGAACCACTGGTCTAGAATGGATCAGAACGTTGGCAGAAAAAGGTGTGATCTCAGCGTGGGTTTTCAGTCTCCCCAGGAGCCTTGAGTTCGCTGGGAGGAAGATCAGCCCCCCAGGCTGGAACCTTCTGAATCATCCCAGGGCTTCTGGCTGCCCACTTAGCACATGGGTTACTTTAGAGAGAGATGCCCGGGGTGGGTCACAGCAGCCACCTTCCTCTGCCCCTCTGAGAACCCAGTGTCTCCCACTCCGCACGACCCCGATCCGCTTTCCCCTTGCCAGCGCCTCACCTCGCTCACCTGCCTCTCACCCTGCCTTCCCGGGATTTCTGGCCCCTTGGCAAGTATTTTGATTCTTCTTTCTGCTCTGTGTTTTAGGGAACAAGGGAGCCGTGGGGGTGTCGTTCATGTTCAATGGAACCTCCTTGGGGTTTGTCAACAGCCATTTGACTTCAGGAAGTGAAAAGAAACTCAGGTAATGGAACTTCTTCCCCCCAGGAGCGTGCTTTTGGGTTATCTGCCCAGATGTGCCTCACACGTCTAAGCACCAGAAGGACCTGCTCAGCTCGTGCCCTTGACCTTGTGGGTGTCCTGTGGCCTTTCAGGGCTCACCACGGTCTCATTAAAAGCAACTGCAGCACAATAGTGACCTCACGTGTGGAAGAATTTTGTCTAAACATCAGAAAAGATATTTCCCTATGTCATTAGCCTGATGGACACCTAACTGTGCTGTTTCTAAAGCAGAAAGCCTCCTTTGGGGCCTCCTTACAAATCCACGCTGATCGGGCCTCGCTGGGGCCCAAGAATGAAGACAGCCATCTGTAGAATCCTCACTGTCTGATTCTCTGCTGAGCAGATGCAGCTTTCCTGGCCCCCTGCCCTCTGTGCACCCAGTGTGGCCTCAAATGCCCTTTGCCTCCTGGCTGTGCTGTATTTGCATGCTAAGGTGGTCTGCTGCAGTCGGGCTGGAGGGCTGCCTCACTCCCTCCACTGCCATGCTCCTCCCCTTGCCCCACCACCTATGGCAGGAGTGACTTCCTGCCACAGTGAGGGGGAAACCAGTGACCCCATGCTAGATGGCCGCTTTTTCCTTGCATTAGGCGAAACCAAAACTATATGAACATTCTCCGGTTCCTGGCCCTGGGCGACAAGAAGCTGAGTCCCTTTAACATCACTCACCGCTTCACGCACCTCTTCTGGCTTGGGGATCTTAACTACCGAGTGGACCTGCCTACCTGGGTAAGGGGCTGCCCGCCTGGGGCTGGGCTGGACTGCAGGGATGGAACCTCCCTTGAGTCAGCTCAGGGCGGGTGATCATAGAGACACATGAACCAAGTGGGCCAAGGCGGCTGTTCCCATTACTGAGCCTCAGCCGCTCCTCACAGGTCCCCTGTGCTTATGCCTGGTTCCTGTAAGTGTCACAGCCACCCTCCCACCGTCACTCTGTAGCCCGGCTCATCCAGCTGCCCACCCCAGCCCCAAAGCTCGCCAGGCCTGGATCTGCAGGGCTTCTCACCGGAGGCCCGGCCATATTCTTGTTCCAGGAGGCAGAAACCATCATCCAGAAAATCAAGCAGCAGCACTACGCAGACCTCCTGTGCCACGACCAGCTGCTCACAGAGAGGAAGGAGCAGAAGGTCTTCCTGCACTTCGGTAGGAGCAGCCGCGTCTTCTCTTGCAGCCTTCCCGGCCATCCTTTCATCCCCTTTCCCCCGATTTCTTCACCAGGTGAATAGGGAAAGTTGGCCAGATGCAAAACCTGGGGAATGAGGATTGAAACCAAAGTTTCTCTGTTTCAGAGGAGGAAGAAATCACGTTTGCCCCCACCTACCGTTTTGAGAGATGTACTCGGGACAAATACGCCTACACCAAGCAGAAGGCAACAGGGGTGAGTCCTCTTCACAGACACCTCCCCTGCCCTCCGTCTCCTCCCCGCTCATGTCTGTTCCCAAAAGGTGAACAGAGAGCGTCTTCATCCATTAGGCTAAAAAAAAAAAAGAAAGAAAGAAAGAAAGAATAAAAAATTAGAAAGCACATTTTGATTTGTGTCACAGAGCAAATGGGCAACCACACTTGTGCCCTGCAGTGAACTGGGAAAATAACCCTTGTGATTTACCTTTGGTCCAGATACTCTAAGATACTGAGAGGATTTTAAAGTATTTTCCTTAACTGGGTTCTGAAGATCATTTTTTTTTATAGTCTCATGATCACATAAATGTGCTAAACTGCTGAGTGAACTAACATTAAGCAGGTTTCTTCACTGCAGGATTTATCAGAGTCTTTATGGGCCTAAGAGCACTGTGGTTCTCCATGAGAAAATCTGTGTGCCAAACAGTTAGTTTTAGTTGTTCGTGGAATACCAATTAATATCTTATGAGGCCACTTGTGTTCCAAGGAATAGTGTTTCAGGAAAGATGCAATAAAATATTTATTCATTTCTCCAAAGATATTTCCTGATGGCCTATGATGGGTTAGGCACTCTCCTAGGTGATGGGAGAGCAAAGATGTCTGCTCCAGGGACTACACGGTAGGAAAAACAAGCCAAATATGCAACTCGCTGTAGCCAGAGCCAGAATGTGACAATGCCAGGGCCGGGAAGGATCAGGGAAGCCAGGCCCTGGCAGGGTTCAAGGGTCGAATGGCTGGGGCAGTGAGGTACCCAGGCTCACTAGAAGCCTAGGGAAATGGAGCACAAGTTCAAAGTGTCATCTGAAAGAGTTCTAGGCCCCATCTGGGCACAGGGGCAGGTGAAGAACTGGACGTGGGAGACGAAGGCCAAGCGCTGGGTGGATTTCAGAGCAGAGCAGGAGAGGAAGAGAACAGAACTGAGAGGACAGGAGGCGGTCCCAGATCACTGCCACCAATGAGGCTGGGACCCCCAGGACGGGACACCCTCTTCTGCAGGGTCCACTGCCTGCTATGTGAATGGGGTCACCTGGCCCAAAGACACTGTCAGAGCAGGTCCATGGGGACCCCTGTGCAGGCTGGCAAAGGATGGTTTGGTTTGATGTGAGTTTAAGTTGAGGCAGATGAGGGTCTGAGATGAGACAGCGGGAAGTCCTAGATGCCAGGCATGACAGGCCACAGGAGGCCACTGCAAGCTCTGCCAGGCACTGGTGCATCAGAGTGGCATGTGCAGAACGGTGGTGGGCATTGTGGTAAAGGATGAGGAGGCTGCAGGGGCACCGGTGAGGAAGCCATCGTGCATGTCCAGCTGAGCAACAACTAGGGCCAAATCAGGGAAAAAACAGTGAAAATGACAGAAAGGGGAAAAGCGGCCAGCTGTGGTGGCTCACACCTGTAATCCCAGCACTTTGGGAGGCACAGGCGGGAGGATCACCTGAGGTCGGGAGTTAGAGACCAGCCTGACCAATATGGAGAAACCCCATCTCTATTAAAAATACAAAATTAGCCGGGTGTGGTGGTGCACGCCTGTAATCCCAGCTGCTCAGGAGGCTGAGGCAGGAGAGTCGCTTGAACCCAGGAGGTGGAGGTTGCAGTGAGGTGAGATTTTGCCACTGCACTCCAGCCTGGGCAACAAAGAGAAACTCCATCTAAAACAAAAAAAGAAAGGGGGAAAGCAGGATATACTGGAAGACCCGATTGCCATTGATAAAAACTGGAAAATCACAAGGTGGAGCTGGCTTGAAGGGGAAAAAATAGAACTTGTTTTCAGACTTACTGATTGTATGACATTAGTGGAAGGAAACAGAAAATATCCAGAAGGCAGCTGAAAATAGTGATGCATCGCTTATCTACGGGGATATGTTCCGAAAGCATTAGGTGATTTCGTTATTATGGGTACCTCATGGAATATATTTATACAAACCTAGGTGGCATAACCTAAGCACACTTCAGCTAGATGCTGTGGCCTATTGCTCCCAGGCTACAAACCTGTATAGCATTTTACTTTACTCAGCACTGTGGGCAATTGTAACACAATGATAAGTTTTTGTGTATCTAAACATTAAAAAGTACAGTAAAAATACGGTTTAAAAAGAAAAAAATGTGCGGGGTGTGGTGGCTCATGCCTATAATCTCAGCACTTTGGGAGGCCGAGCTGGGTGGATCACTTGAGGTCAGGAGTTCGAGACCAGCCAGGCTAACATGGTGAAACCTTGTTACTACTAAAAATATAAAAATTAGCTGTGCATGGTGGGACAGGCCTGTAACCTCAGCTACTCAGGAGGCTGAGGCAAGAGAATCTCTTGAACCCGGGAGATGGAAGTTGCGGTGAGCCAAGATTGCACCATTGCACTCCAGCCTGGGTGACAGAGCAAGACTCTGTCTCAAAAAAGAAAAGAAAAAGATGGTCCACCTGTATAGGGCACTTACCGTGAATGAAGTGCGCAGGACTGGAAGTTGCTCTGGGTGTCAGTGAGTGAGTGGTGAGTGAGTGTGAAAGCCCAGGACACTACTGTACACTGCTGTCGACTTCACAAACCCTGTACACTTAGGCTATTCTACATTAATTTTTAAAAATTTTTTTCAATAATAAATTAACCTTAGCTTACTGTAATTCAGAAGGAGGCGGAGTTGCAGTGAGCCGAAACTGCGCCACTGCACTCCAACCTCGGCGACCACTCCAACCTCGGCGACAGAGTGAGGCTCCATGTTAAGGAAAAAAAAAGAAGAAAGAATGTTTATGGCAGCTTTGTTTATAATCTTCAAAACTGAAAACAGCCTATGTCCATTAACAGTAGATTAGATAAATGTGATACTTACAGGCAATGGAACTTTTACACTCAACAAAGTGGCTGAAAGAGTCCAACATAAAACAGTGTCTACTGAGCGAGTTCATTTATATACGATCATATACATTAATCAGTGGAGATGTTAGTCGCAGTAATGCTCACCTTTAGGGGGCTGTGGTATTGACAAGGAAGGAGTGTGAGGAAACTTGTAGGATGATAGGGGTTTTCTGTGTCTTACTCTGGGTAGTGGGTGAGTGTATACAAAAGTAAAAATTCATGGGACTATACACTTACGGTTAGTACACTTTATGTAAGTTGTACCTAAAGGTTTTTTTTTTTTTTTTTTAAGTGAGTGGTTCAGAAGCAGAGGCAATGAAAATAGAACATTCTTGAAAGAAAATTGGTAAAAGGAAGAAAAGAGAAAAGTAATTGAACGAGATGACAGAGATCAAGAAGAAAGAATTAGAACATGAGGGGATAAGGATATTGAGAAAAGAGGGTTGTTATCGCCAGTTTGCCTTGTCCATCCCATCCAGTGGACATCTTGCTCACCACTGCAGCCTGAGGCCCTGGAGAAGGCTGCCATATAGTATTAATAGATACTGTTTGAGTGACTGGCTAAGTAGGTGGACAAGTGTGTGAACGGGTCAATGGGTGGGTGGGTGGGTGGATAGGTGGATAAATGGATGAATAGATGGATGAGTGAATAGGTGAATGGGTAGGTGGGTGGAGAGATGGATGGATGGATGGATGGGTGGGTGGAGGGAGGGAGGGATGGGTGGATGGATGGATGGATAAATAGAGGGATAGGTGGATGGGTGGGTGAATGGGTGGATGGATAGGTAGATAAATGGATGAATAGATGGATGGGTGAATAGGTGAATGGGTAGGTGGGTGGAGAGATGGATGGATGGATGGATGGATGGGTGGGTGGAGGGAGGGAGGGATGGATGGATGGATGGATAAATAGAGGGATAGGTGGATGGGTGGGTGAATGGATGGATGGATAGGTAGATAAATGGATGAATAGATGGATGGGTGAATAGGTGAATGGGTAGGTGGGTAGAGAGATGGATGGATGGATGGATGATGGATGGATGGATGGATGGATGGATAGAGAGATAGGTGGATGGGTGGGTGAATGGGTGGATGGGTGGGTGGATGGGTGGATGGATGGATGGATAGGTAGATAAATGGATGAATAGATGGATGGGTGAATAGGCAAATGGGTAGGTGGGTGGAGGGATGGAGGGAGGGAGGGAGGGATAAATGGAGGGATTGGTGGATGGGTGGATGGATGGATAAATAAGTGGGTGGGTGGATGGGTGGTGGATGGATGAAGGAATAGGTGGGTGGGTGGATGGATGGATGGGTGGGTGGATGGATGGATGAATGGATGGATGAATAGGTGGATGGGTGGATGGATAAATGGATAGGTAGGTAGGTGGATGGATGGGTGAATGAGTAAATGAGTAGAGGGATAGATGGGGAGATGAAGAGGTGGATAGGTGGATGAATAGGGAAGCAGGAGTGGAAGCTGGAGTGTGTTATTACAGTAAGTGGCTGCAGAAAGTGAGTAGAGACTGGTTGAAAATACAGGTGTGGGTTCATCTGGGTCAGAAAGAAAGTAAGACAAGGTGAATACGAGGGATACTGAAGTAGCCAGGAGGCTAGTGAGGAAGCACAGCAAGGTGAGCTATCTTATTCTAGAGCAGAAGGTCAGGATGTCTGAAAGTGTGGGGCGTAGCAGTGGAGTTGGGACTTGAGGCATGTGAAAAGCCACCTACGAGGAAATTGTATAAAAAGGTAACAGCCAATTCATTTGAAAATTATAGAGGCCACCAGTTAATCTTTTCTTTCACTGATTTAAAAAAAAAGCAAGAGGCATGTTGCGAAGCCTGTGACTTTGATTTGCAGATGAAGTACAACTTGCCTTCCTGGTGCGACCGCGTCCTCTGGAAGTCTTATCCCCTGGTGCATGTGGTGTGTCAGTCGTATGGTGAGTCAAAACACTGGGGAAAGCAGACCAGGATCAGAGAATGGCGCAAAGCTGGGAGGTGCGACTGCCCTAAAATCTAGGGGCTTCAGTCTGTTGATGTGTCAAGTGGAGGAATTCACTGTAACCCTAATCAAGTCACCTGGAAAAGTTGATGCATCCCTACCTGTCTTTCTATATCCTCTGCTTTGGGAGACGTTTGAATTATGGGAGCACTTTTTTTTTTTTTTTTTTTTTTTTTGAGATGGAGTCTTGCTCTGTGGCCAGGCTGGAGTGCAGTGGCGTGATTTTGGCTCACCACAACCTCCACCTCCCAGGTTCAAGCGATTCTCGTGCCTCAGCCTCCCAAGTAGTTGGGATTACAGGTGTCTGCCACCATGCCTGGTTAATTTTTTATATTTTTAGTAGAGATGGGGTTTCACCATGTTGGCCAGGCTGGTTTTGAACCCCTGACCTCAGGTGATCAGCCTGCCTCGGCTTCCTAAAGTGCTGGGATTATAGGTGTAAGCACCGCACCTGACCTGAAGCACTTTTTTAAAAATTTAGTTTTAGGCTGGGTGTGGGTGGCTCACGCCTATAATCCCAGCACTTTGGGAGGCTGAGGTGGGTGGATCACGAGGTCAAGAGATTGAGACCATCCTGGTCAACATGGTGAAACCCTATCTCTACTAAAAATACAAAAAAATTAGCTGGGCATGGTGGTGTGCACCTGTAGTCCCAGCTACTCGGGAGGCTGAGGCAGGAGAATTGCTTGAACCCAGGAGGCAGAGGTTGTGGTGAGCCGAGATCACACCATTGCACTCCAGCCTGGGTAACAAGAGCTAAACTCCATCTCAAAAAAAAAAAATTAGTTTTATTTCTTTTGAAAATAACATATTAAGTTTGAACCGTATGAAAGTGTTTTTGTAGGTCAGAAATAATCAATTATTGGAAATTCATATGGCTCAAACTAATACATATCACAAGTGTATACACATATATATTTGGGAGATTTAAGGATAAATTGCATTAAGTTGATTTTTTAAAGGCATAATATATAGTATTAAAATAAATAATTATGGAATAAATTATCAAAACAATTAAGAAATAACTGTTAGGCACTGTGGCACACACTTACAGTCTCAGCTACTTAAGGCTGAGGTGAGAGGATCGCTTGAGCCCAGTAGCTCAAAACCAGTCTGGGAAATGTAGACCCCATCTCTGAAAAAAATCAGAGAGAGAAATGACTGTTAACTCTTGACCCTCAGAGTTGAAAGTGCAGTGAAGGAGCTCTTAATTGCCTGAATGCTTATTCCTAAAAGCTACTGATTAGTTCCTGTTACTTACAAACTGAGACCTTCAAAATCCGCAGAACAGAATTGCTTTGAAAACATCCCTGACTGACAAGTGTGGTATTATTTTTATTTATTTATTTATTTATTGAGATGAGTCTTGCTAAGTCACCCAGGCTGGAGTGCAGTGGCACAATCTCAGCTCCCTGCAGCCTCCGCCTCCTGGGTTCAAGTGATTCTCCTGCCTCAGCCTCCCGAGTATCTGGGATTACAGATGCACAACGCCAAGCTAATATTTTTGTATTTTTAGTAGAGAGGGGGTTTCACCATGTTGGTCAGGCTGGTCTCGAACTCCTGACCTCAAGAGATCCACCCACCCCAGCCTCCCAAAGTGCCGGGTTTACAGGCATGAGCCACTGCACCAAGCCCAGTGGTATTATTTTTAAAACTGCAAATTCCCAGACAATGGCCTCCAAAGGAGGGCCACCCTGGCCCTCGGAGTGAGGAGAGGGTGGGGGAATCCTGCTGCTGCCCAGTGGCCTCCTTCGTGGCGCCCACCCTCTCTGGGGACTGGCAAATTTGATCCCACAAGTTTAACTCTGGTCCTATACATGGAATTGGTTTCCATTCCTATCTTCTGTGCATGTCTTCTGCTGCCCAGAAGAGCCCAGAGCAGCTACCCTGAAACAGCTGAACACACGCACCCTGCGTTCCCTGCTGAAGGAATGAGCTCTGGCTCCCAGAAGTGACGTCACTAGATGAACTTCACACAACACCTTTAGATGTGTGGGAGGGCAGCCCGCCCTCACAGCCCAGGGCATCGTCCCAGCTTCCCAAACTCAAAGTGCCCGCGTCCTACCCTCTGCCTGCAGCCTCCTCACTTGTGCATTCTCTCCTTGTCCCCCACCACTGCTAGGACTCTCCCTCCCAACCCTGTCACTCCTGTCCTCCCCACGTCCTGCAGGTCTGCACGTCCTGCCCGTCCTTGTCTCAACATCTGCCTGCTTCAGCCAGCCTCTGCCCAGAGTCAGGAGAGAGTGGAGGCCTGCGGAATTACCACTTACTGCTTTGCACCTAAACCTGGCATTCGAAACTGCTCAACAGTGGAGGTTTTAGAGAAAGAGGAGGGAGATCAGTCCAGAAGTGGCAGCAAGGAGCAGGGAGGGCACCCTTTGTCCCCACCTGGGGAGGAAAACAAGCCTCAGCAGAGAGGCGGCAGTGTTTGCCATTCGGAGAGGGCTGGGTTTGGGAGGTGAAGGAAAGATTAAAGATACGGGGAATTTTGCTGATGATATTTCATTGAGTGCCAGAGGGCTCAGTGGAAGGGTTTAATGGCTCGGGGTTGAGGGGAGGCAAGAAGTTGGAAAAGAAAAGGGAGTGGATATAAAGAAACGGGGGTGACCTGGGAGCCTCAGTCTTCTTGTGGCAATGAACATAGCCAGGTATATCAGCTGTCTATTGCTGCATAACCGACTGCTCTAGCACTCAGTGACTTAGAGCAAGCATTTATTTGCTCGTGATTCTCTGGGCTAGGCTGAATTTGGACTGCTCATTCCCGGTTCTAGTTGGTGTCATCTGAGTACACTCAGGCAGGCGCCCAGTCAGATCTGGGGTGGGCTGGCTGTTGGCAGGCGTAAGGGTGGTACTCATCATCCAGCAGGCCAGTGCAGGCTGCTTCACTTCCTGGTCTCAGGGTTCCCAGCTGCAAGTCTCAGGTATGGAAGTTCTTCCTAAGGCTCTGTTGGCCTCATGTTTTCTGAGATCCCATTGGCCAAAGGAAGTCACGTGGCCAAGCCCAGACCCATGGTGGGAGGGGACCACAGATAGTGGTTACTGGGAGGAGGACTGGGTCATTGAGGGCCAGCATCTTGCAGTCCACCTCCCAGGCTTAAGAGCACACTATAGTGCCGTTGCTAGTATGTTCAGTACATATCTGAAATATTCTGAGAATGCCTAAAACAAACCCACTTGTCAACCCATTAAACTCTCCCTGGAACGCCTCTCCTCAACTCCCACTGCAAACCTGTACCCGTGCGCTCAGCCTGACTCCCCACCCCCATCCTCTCCTGCCTCACACAGCACTGGACCTCACTGACTTCCTCTTGCTCATGTCCAGTTTGGTTTTTTTTTGAGACAGTCTTGCTCTGTCGTGGAGGCTGAAGTGCAATGGCACCATCTTGACTCACTGCAACCTCCGCCTCCTGGGTTCAAGCAATTCTCCTGCCTCCGCCTCCCAAGCGGCTGGGATTACAGGCGCCCGCCACCATGCCTGGCTAATTTTTTGTATTTTTAGTAGAGATGGGGTTTCACCAGGTTGGCCAGGCTGGTCTGGAACTCCTGGCCTCAAGTGATCGACCCACCACGGCTTCCCGAAGTGCTGGGATTACAGGCGTGAGCCACCGTGCCCAGCCTCAGGTCCAGTTTTTAAGCTGATGCCCTCGCATCTTCCTCCCTCCTGTCTCAGAGAAGGAGTAGCCTCCTTTCCTTCCTGCCCAGCCTTTGCCCCTGGACCCTTGACTCCATCTGCTCCTCCTCCACCACCAGCCAGTGCCCCCACTCCCGTCCTCGTCATCAGTCACTTTCTTGTTTTGTCTCACGGTTTCCATGTGTTTCTCTGGTGATCCTTAGTAAGTGACCTTTTTCTCTTTTCATGTTTATTAGCCACCTATATTTTTTGGTGAATTTTCTGTTCATATCTCTGGTTGGTTGAGGGGTGGGGTGTTTATCTTTTTCTTGCTGATTGTAAACGCTGTCTAGGAAAGCATACGAAGTGTGTGTTGTCAGCTCCTTGTCTCCTTTGCTGGCAGTGTTTTCTTTGCCCACCCTTTCACGGTTGGTGTGCCCTGGAATTCCATCCTCAGCCCTTCTTATCTTTCACTTGAAAGCCCAAACACGCTCGTGTCTTCTGCTCCCACCTAATCCCAAGACTCCAAATCTAAAGATGCATCTCCAGCCTTGAGTACCCATTTCCTGCCGGGCATCTCCAGTGGGCTATCTCGAAGCAACTGCCTTTCTAGAACTTCCCTCTTTCTCTTGCCCCTTCCCAAAGTGCTTTGCTGCCTCCATTCTCACCCTAGTCAAGCTCCTTAACAGAGTTTTCTACACAAAGCGTCCTCTGCTCTCTCCCAGTTCTGTGAGGCATCATGGGGTGGAGAAGATGTCCTGTCTCTCCCACCGATGAGCTGAGTGACCTTAAGTCCCCTTCCTACTCTGTATTTGGGGCTTGTCATCAATAAAATAAAGTGGGTCAGGGCAGTGGCTCATGTCTGTAATCCCAGCACTTTGGGCGGGTAGATCACCTGAGCTCAGGAGTTTGAGACCAGCCTGGCCAACGTGGCAAAACCTCATCTCTGCAAAAAACAAAGATTCGCCAGTCACCATGGCACGCACCTGTAATCCCAGCTATTTGGGAGGCTGAGGCATAAGAACTGCCTGAGCCTGGGAGGTGGAGATTGCAGTGAGCCAAGATCGCGCCACTGCACTCTAGCCTGGGCAGCAGAGCGAGACTCTGCCTCAAAAAATTAAAATAAAAATTAAAATTAAAAAATAAAATGATTAGACCAGAAAAATTTCCACGTTTCACACTCCCTAATCCATTCAAAAAGCCATAGGTCTTTAGGAAAACTAGCCCAGGCTTCTTTTATCTACAAAGGAGGCAGTGTACGTACTGCCTTCCACTGAACTCTTGAAGCCTTGCCTTGGAAGGCCAACAGGACAACAGGTGCAAACCTTCGCATTTCTGGAGGCTCCATCGTTAAACTTTCCTCCTATTTTAGGATTGCCATCATTGGCTTGACCAGAGGGCTTCTTCTCTCCTGCTTAAAAATGCCTTTCCTCCACTGCAGGCAGCACCACTGACATCATGACGAGTGACCACAGCCCTGTCTTTGCCACGTTTGAGGCAGGGGTCACTTCCCAGTTTGTTTCCAAGAATGGTAAGCAAAGGATGGCGTCTGTTTCTCTGTTTTCCTCATGGCAAGGGGCGCTGCGCGCTTGTCTTCGGTGTAGCAGTCAGTGGTCTGCATGAGAGGAAGGCACCTTTTCCCAGACAGGTCATGCTCCGTCAGTCACGTCTCTTCACGTCCCAGCCACAGCACAGTTTCAGTCCAGAGAATGTACTCGCTCTGCTTGGCAAATATGTTAGCCTTTTGAGCTTCAGTTTTAGTCTGAAAAAAATGGGTAAATCAGTGTTTCCCAAGGTGTGGCCTGTCTCTCACTGAAGACAATTCTCGGGGTGGGGTGGGGGGGGGCAGGGGACACAGATAAACATTTATTAGTAATGCCTTTATTTTAACATATTTTAAATTTATGTCTTCTGTTTAAGGCAAGCAACATTGCTTTTCCATTTAGTATTGTGATATACCTTACTCAGTTACATTTAATTTTAAAAAGTGAGTCCAGCCAGGTGCGGTGGCTCAAGCCTGTAATCCCAGCACTTTGGGAGGCCGAGGCGGATGGATCACGAGCTCAAGAGATCGAGACCATCCTGGTCAACATGGTGAAACCCCGTCTCTACTAAAAATACAAAAAATTAGCTGGGTATGGTGGCGCGTGCCTGTAATCCCAGCGACTCAGGAGGCTGGGGCAGGAGAATTGCCTGAACCCAGGAGGCGGAGGTTGCAGTGAGCCGAGATCGCGCCACTGCACTCCAGCCTGGGTAACAAGAGTGAAACTCCGTCTCAAAAAAAAAAAAAAAAAAAAAGGCATTGTACAGGTGAGTGGTGCCCAGAGATGGTAACAATCATGAAGATGGGATGCAGATGACTGAGTTTTGGGAAACACCACAGTAAATCATATTTAGATTTGCAGGTAATTTTTCAAATAGTCCAGCTCAGCCCTGGTCACCAGGCTACCCTTGTCCCAGCTGGGACTGGGTATTCTCTGTAATGTGTCCATCCAGCCCTTGGCTCAAGTGACCAGAGAGCCATGTTTTCTCTGCCTAGTCTCTGCTTCTGTGGTCAGCCCACTGTTCGCCAGGCTCCTTTAGGAAGACTGAGCCTAGGGTACCCAAATACAGGGAAAGACCATCTTGCTCTGTGTCCTTCATGCCTTGGGGGACACCAGTGAGGCCAGAGCACTGTCTTTCTGGAATGTTCTTCTCCATCCTATTGCGTCTAACATCCATGGCCCCAGAAACGTGAACTCCCCTCTTCAGCCAAGCCTTGACCCACCATCGTGTCTCCTTCCTAGGTCTGGCCACTGTGCCTTTCTAGAATCTTCCTAGCCCTTAGGCTGGACCTCTTCCCCGACTTCCACCTGTCTCCCCTTTCTCTGAACTCCTGCAGCCTTGAAGGGGTTGCCCCTGCCATCTCCTTCTCTGTTCCGGGATAGCGCATCCTCAGTGCCCGGCCGGGCTTCATTCCACAGGGACTCCGTATGCCCTAGATGCTCAAAAACACTGATCACCGGGCCTGAGTGTTGATTGGGCATTTACCTAAGCAGAGCCTGGACAGGGCACTGCGGGGTTTAGAAAGAGAAAGGAAAGAAGGAAGAATGTGAGGGAAGGAAAGATTTGTTCATGCTCTCAGAACATCACTCTGTTCTATGGCCCAAAATGTATATGAAAGGACAGAACACTGGTTTTTCTTGCAAAACCATCGTCTAAATTAACACAATTGCAGGCAAGTTAACTCTGTGCAAAAGAGCTTACAGAGCCCAGAGTTAAGGAGTGGGAATAACTGTGTCTAAGGGAGAAAGAGCAACTAGCTCTCCCTACCTGAACTCAGAAACAGCATTGAGTTGAGTACTGAGCAACTGAGCCATTCTACAAAGTCCTTTTGCGGGAACTAGCTGGGAGCCTGAAGGGGCGTGGGGCGGGTAATTGCCTGAGGCCATGCAGCTTTAGTGACAGAGCTGAGACAGGTCCAGAGTCCTGGGACTCTGCGTCTTTCTGCCCTGCTCTCTGCCCTGGCCAGCTCATGATGCATCAGAGAGGCCGGCGATGCTCCGATGGGTGCTGGATTTCGCTGTAGCTTACTTCTTCTCCCACTAGACTCCCACCTTCCTGGGACCCTGAGAAGGAGTCAGTGTGTGGCATGAGAACTAATTTGAAATGCTCCATCTCCAGGCATGTCCTGGAACTGAATCTCTCTTCTCCCATTCTAGGTCCTGGCACTGTCGACAGCCAGGGGCAGATCGAGTTTCTCAGGTGCTATGCCACATTGAAGACCAAGTCCCAGACCAAGTTCTACCTGGAGTTCCACTCCAGCTGCCTGGAGAGTGAGTGACTGCTCTACTGCCTTCTGGGCGGAGCCGGCCGGAGCCCTCTTAGAAACACCTTTCCTACCTGTCACTTTGCTCCATTTTTCCTCTCCCTGGAAAGGACTCACGGAGTGGGGCAGAGAAGTGGGGCTGCAGGTGGATGGCTCAAGGGGACACTTAGTTACTGAGAGGGGTCCCTGTGGCCTGGGCAGCCGAGGGGCAGGGGCAGCCATGAATGTACTGACCCCTCAGTCCCTTGTATGTGGCAGGCGGGCTCCCATCCCTGCCCCTCAGGGCGGACTGTGACCCACTCAAGGTTCCCTGGGGCTCTGACTCAACCAGAGAGTGTTGGGCCCATGTCCAGACCTCAAAGAGCCGGCGTGGGGGCCTGAGCAGCAGCCGCCTGCTGTCACCCTGCCCACCTTGCTCCTTTGAGTCACGGCGTCTTTCTTGGGGATCTGCAGTGCCCAAAAGCAAGCAGGAGATGGACAGGCTTCCCTGAGCCAGCAGCATTTAGCACAAACTGTGTTTAAGAAACACCCTTTCCGGGTGACGTTTCTAGGCATACTGTCTAAAGCTGTCTCACGCCAAGAGCTGCGTGCATCCAGCCCTCTTCGTTGAGATAGTCTGCAGAGTGGTAGGGGGAGGAAAAGGGGGGGTCAGCTTCACAAAAGGGCATTTTGTGAGGCCCTGACTGGGATGCTTCCAGAAATCAGGAAGAAGCGTGTGCTGCCCCTCTGGTCCCCGCTTCCTTCTCCAGCTCAGCTAGGCCCAGGCGTGGTGCTAGAGCAGCCTTGGCCACTGAGTCCCCAAGCCCCAGTTCACCCAGCAGGGTCAAAGCAGTTCGAAAAATGACGAAGAATTTTGTGCGGGCGTTTTTAATAAACTATCAAGACACTTGCATACATTTCTATGGAAACAGCATATTAGGAAGCTTAAATTAGAATTTCAAAAGGCTGCTATCTTGAGTGGCGTGGGACGAGCTGTCAAGTTTCCTAATCTTTTTTCCTATGATGTGATGATTTCTTTGTTGCCTGGTTTGTTGCAAAGAGGAACTGAAAAGGAGGGGGAAATCTCTTTGATTTTCCCAAACACAATTAGACCATGTTGGCAGATGACCAATCCCTGCACAAAAACAGAATCCCCAGCAGGCCTGACTCCTAAATGAGGCCGAGCCCCGAGATTAAAAAAAAAGAGACTGCGTCTCTTCCTCGGTCTGGGTGGGTTGACCCAGGGAGTTTTTTCCGTCTGGTTCTTGCTGTTTTCTGAAAACCAGCCTTCTTGTCTTCCAACAGGTTTTGTCAAGAGTCAGGAAGGAGAAAATGAAGAAGGAAGTGAGGGGGAGCTGCTGGTGAAGTTTGGTGAGACCCTTCCCAAGGTAATTCTAGAGCAAGGCATTCCCCAGGGGGAGGGTTGCATTGGCTAGGCCAGTCGTACCCGCCAGTGGCAGAGCCCTGCCAGGCCTGACCAGGGGGAGCAGGAATCTCAGAGACCAAGTGCAGAAAGAGGCGGCTCCAGGAGCAAGCTCTCGCTCGAGGTGGTTCATGCCGCGCTTCGCAGCAGTGGGTATGCGGCCTCATTCTTCCTAAATGTTTTCAGTTCCCCTAAAGGATCACAGAAGGGACCTAGAGGTCAGCTCGTCTAACCACGTGATTTTGCAAAGACGGAAACTCAGGTGTGGGGCCACAAGCTGTTTGCTCGTGGCCTCGTGGCTGCGGTAACACACCTAGGATGCAACCCCAAGATGCCAGTTCTCCCTTTGGTGCTTGTTTTCCTATTCAGCGCTGGCTCATAGAATCGAGTACAGAGGGGCATAGAAAGGAGCTCATTGGCTCCTAATCATACACTTGTGAACACAGGAAGGACTTGACATGTCTGTGGCCCTGCAAGAGCAGAGGGTGGGATTGAGAACACTCAACCAGGCCGGGCACACTGGCTCACGCCTGTAATCCCAGCACTTTGGGAGGCCGAGGCAGGTGGATCACCAGAGGTCAGGAGTTCAAGATCAGCCTGGCCAACATGGCAAAACCCTGTCTCTACTAAAAATACAAAAATTAGCCGAGCATGGTGGCTCATGCCTGTAATCCCAGCTACTAGGAGGGCTAAGGCAGGAGAATCACTCGAACCCGGGAGGCGGAGGTTTCAGTGAGCCGAGATCATGCCACTGCACTCTAGCCTGGGCAACAGAATGAAACTCTGTCTCAAAAAAAAAAAAAAGAAAAAAGAAAGAAAGAAGAAAACACTGAACCAAACCTTAGTGGGAACACATTCTTCTTTGCTGTAGAAAAAATAGTTTTCTAGCCTGTTGTGGTAGCTCACACATGTAATCCCAGCACTTTGGGAAGCCAAGGCAGGGGGATTGCTTGAGCCCAGAAGTTCAAGACCAGCCTGGGAAACATAATGACATCCCATCTCTACAAAAAAAAAAAAAATTTAAAATTTTTTTTCTACCTTTTTTTTTTTGAGACCGAGTCTTGCTCTGTCACCCAGGCTGGAGTGAAGTGGCACTGTCTTGGCTCACTGCAACCTTGACCTCCCGGGTTCAAGTGATTCTCCTGCCTCAGCCTCCTGAGTAGCTTGCACTACAGGTGTGCACCACTATACCCAGCTAATTTTTCTATTTTTCGTAGAGACGGGGTTCCCCATGTTGGCCGCCCTGGTCTCAAACTCCTGACCTCAAGTGATCCACTGGTCTTGGCCTCCCAAAGTGCTGGGATTACAGGTGTGAGCCACTGCACCCAGCCCAAAACATTTGTGTTTATTAATTAGCCAGGCATGTTGGTGCATGCCTGTAGCTGCTCTGGAGGCTGAGGCGGGAGGTTAACCTGAGCCTAGGGGATCCAGGCTGAGTGAGCTGCGATCATGCCACTGCACTCCAGCCTGGGTGGTGCAGTGAGACCCTGTCTCTATTAATGTTTTTCTACTGAAATTGCTTTAGTGATGCTAAATTGACAGTGGAGGTGTTGGCTGTCGTTGAGTGCAAGCTTATTAGGAGCTCATTAGTTGTGCACGCTGGGTAGGAAGTGGAGTTTCTTTCTCACACCACAAGGGAGGGGTGGAATGAAGAGGAATCCTGGGCCAAGCAGATCCATCACAGGAGGTGGGGTGTCTTGGGGGTTGCCCTTGGAGGTGACACTCGAGGTGAATTTTAAAGGACAGTCTTAAACAGGGGGAGCGACCCATCATCTCCTGAGATGAGCGGGATGTAGGCAGGTTTCAGGGGGCTGGACCCACACTGACATTAACCTTTGATTGGAACCAACTCTCAGGCCACGTAAAAAGGCCGTATCAGCCAGGCAGGGTGGCTCACGCCTGTAATCCCAGCCCTTTGGGAGGCTGAGGTGGGCAAATTACCTGAGGTTGGGAGTTCGAGACCAGCCTGACCAACATGGAGAAACCCCCATCTCTACTAAAAATATGAAAATTAGCTAGGCGTGGTGACACATGCCTGTAATCCCAGCAACTAGGAAGGCTGAGGCAGGAGAATCACTTGAACCCGGGAGGCGGAGGTTGCAGTGAGCCAAGATCGCACCATTGCACTCCAGGGCAACAAGAGCGAAACTCTGCTAAAAAAAAAAAAAAAAAAAAAAAAAAAAAAAAAAAAAAAAAAAAAAAAAAAAAAAAAAGGCCCCATCATCTCAGGAGCAGAGGCTGATGCCTGAACTCAAGATTCCCCCAGCTGGGCCACAATTCTAAATTACTTAGAGGCTGCAGCCAGCCAGATCACATGGCTCTGACTGGGGTCTCCCGCAGAGGCCCAGGTAGAGCTGTCAGAAGTCCCCGTTCTGGGGCTGTCTTCAGGCCCCTGGGTCATGGCGGTTCTGAACTTCAAGGAGACATTTCAACCTCACCCAGCCCAAGCCTGCCCTCCTGCTCCTCCTCCATGGGTGCTTCCAGGCAGGGCCTGAGCAGTCGTTTCCTCCTTTGGTGATGTTGGAAAAGAGACCAGCACCCCATTTCCCAACACATTCACCCCCTGGTCCAGCTCAGGGACCCCCTAGGGCACCCTGTCTTCTTCCACTCCCCACATCCTTGAAGCCACCAAGTCCTGCTGTTTCTCTTGCCTCTGTCCCCTCCCTCCATCCTCTTGCCCCTTCCCAGGGGGCTCCACCCCTCCTTTCTCTTGCCTCTTGCTGAGGCATCCTAAACCCTGATGGATCTTTCTGGAATGCTTGTCTGATCCTGGTGTCCCCCTCTTTATCTGGTCAACTCCCTGGTGCCCAGCAGGGCAAACAGCCTCATCTGCTGCTCCCACAGGACTGCGGGGGCCTTCACTGTCTCCTGCTCCCTGACCCCCGTCCCACCCCTGTTGCCTGGCAGCCTCCTCTCTTCACCCTGTAAGTCCCTGTGGCTCCGAGATAGTCCTCCTCCCTGCCACCCCCTGCAGGGTGGTGGTGTCCCACAGAGACATTCATTGTTCAGATGTCTGTCACCCCACTCTCCCCGCATCCCCAGGGAGGACCGGGTCTTCCTCCTGCACCCGAGGCCCCCAGCCCTGGCCCTGGGTCTAACTTAGAGCCAGACATCCCCTCGTGCCAGAAGCCAAGTGATGACGTAGAGCCCTGGAATGCCGGGAGTGCCACTGCAATTTCCGGTCATCTGTTCTGGACCTTTTTTTTTGAAACTGAGTCTTGTTTTGTTGCCCAGGCTGGAGTGCCGTGGTGAGATCTCAGCTCACTGCAACCTCCACTTCCTGAGTTCAAGCGATTCTACTGCCTCAGCCTCCTGAGTAGCTGGGATTACAGGCATTCACCACCACATCCCGCTAATTTTTGCATTTTTTGGTAGAGATGGGGTTTCACCATGTTGGCCAGGCTGGTCTCAAACTCCTGACCTCAAGTGATCCACCTGCCTCAGCCTCCCAAAGTGCTGAGATTATAGGGGTGAGCCACCGTACCCGGCCTGGAACTTTCCGAATGGAGATGTAATGAGTCTTTCCTGTTGGTCAGCATGGTGCCCAGAGCCCTGCACCAGGAGCCTTTTGGTGTCTGGAAGGGAAGGGAGGGAACCGCCTACAGCAGAGTGTCACCGTTCTATTTGGCCCTCCCGTATGGAGTCATTGTGAGGAATAGCCCCACATCTCAAAAAGCCATAACTCGTGGCGGATGAGGAGCTGGTGAGCGTGTGATGCTCCTCCCTGCGCTCATGTGGACACAGCCTCCACTGGTGAGGTCCGAGCCTCCCCCAGCTCTGTGCAAAGCCTGTTAGCAGCACCCCCCACACCCCCGGGCAGGCCAGCAGGGCCTCTGGAGGAGTTGGCAGTCCTCAGCCAACTCCTGGGGCTAACAATGTTATCCAGGAATGTGGGAGTCTGTCTGTTGTTCGCCGAGCCACACCCCCAACAATGGACAGGATGGACACAGAGGCTGCATTCTCCCCTGAGAGGGGTAGGCCTGGGTGCTGCCTTGGATGCAGCCACAGTCCTGGAGGAGGCCAAGGAGAAGGTCTGTGCTCTGTGGGGGGAGCCTGGCACAGGGTGGAGAGCAGAGGCCATTCTGGACCTGGTACCTGGCCCCACTTCCCTGTCAGCCTGCCTCCTCCTCCATGACCCTGGCATAGGCACAGGAAGAAAGTGGGGCAATGGATGGGGCCCATTTGGGGGTCACCCTTCTTGCTGGGACTTGGGAGCCAGGTCAGTTTAGGAGTCCTGGGATGCAGTGTGGATGTGGGCGGGGACAGGGAAGGAAGCTAACCCCCACCTTGCTGGAGAGGGTATATGTGAAAGCTAGCCCCGCCCCCTGCTCTCTTGGGTGTGGACAGCAGAGATTTGGATCTGATCACTAAGAACACCTTCCGTCATCCTCATCCACCCATCCCCCACCTGTCTCCTCACCTGTCCCTTCCCTGTCAACTCCAGTCCTGTGCCCTTCTCTCTGCAGCTGAAGCCCATTATCTCTGACCCTGAGTACCTGCTGGACCAGCACATCCTCATCAGCATCAAGTCCTCTGACAGCGACGAATCCTATGGTAAGGGTCTGCAGACAGGTGCCACACCTGCCTGTGAGCTGGCTGCCTCTGACGTAGACTCGTCTTCAGGGAGAGCCCTCCTAGCACTTCCGGTCATAGGCTCCTGCCGCTCCTTTCCTCATCCCAGGGCTGCGAGTGGGACTGTCACCACCACTAAGTCATCCTTCCCTCCCCACTGGGCTTCTGGGCAGGACAGCCAGCAGTGGCAACCCCTTCCATGTGTTGAGCTTTCCCTGTTCTCCAATGAGTAAATGGAGGCTCAGAGAGGTCAAGTGACTTGTCCAGGTCACACAGGGAGTGGTGGCTGTGCCCTAATTTGAACCCAGGTCTGCCTGCCCTTCTCTGCTTCTGAGTCAACCTCCTCAGCTCACAGGTCTCAAGCTGCAGACTCCCCTCTGCTGACCCAGACTCTGAAACACCTTCTCGGTCACAAAGGGGCTGCTGCTTCTGCCCCCAAGTGGCCACCCTCTGCATGAAGACCGCCCCCCCAAGCCAGAGCGATTTGGGCTGAGGGGTGGTGCAGGGTCCGCTGGGTGGGACTTGGGGTGCTGGAAACACCAGCCCAAGGCTCTCTGGTCTTCTGCTCAGCATCACTCAGTGCCCAGACTGGGCAGGCTGTGGGGGCCTGTGGCCAAAGAGACACCAGGGGCTTTTGAACCATCTCTGCTTGTTTGTGGCTCCAGCCCAAAGTCAGGCTCACCCTGGCTGGACCACATGTGGCTAGACCATGGGATGAGAGAGGCAGAGAGAGCCTGGAGGGGTCAGAGAGAGGCCAGAGGCAGGAGCCAGACCAAGCCTCTCCTTACAAGCCAAGCTAAGAGCAAATACCTTATCTCGAGGGCAGTAGGGAGCCATTGAAGATTCAAGCAAGGAAGGAACAGGATCAGATTCACATCTTGGAAATCTGCATCTGCAGTGATCATGATGACAGATGAGTGAGCCAGAATAGAAGCAGTGACTGTGAAAAAGGAGAGAAGAGGATAACATTGAGGGGAATGGAGTGAAACACTGTCTGGGCACGGGATTGGAGAAAGGGTCTGTATTCGTCTGTTCTCACACTGCTATAAGAACAAACCCAAGACTGGGTAATTTATAAAGGAAAGAGGTGCAGTTGACTCACAGTTCCACAGGGCTGTGGAGGCCTCAGGAAACTTACAGTCATGGCAGAAGGGGAAGTAAACACGCCCTTCTTCACATGATGCAGGAAGGAGAAGTAGGTGCCCATCGATGGGGGAAGCTCCTTATAAAACCATCAGATCTCTTGAGAACTCTCACTCTCACTATCACTATTGAGAAAAGGATGGGGAAACTGCCCCCATGATTCAATTATCTCCACTTGGTCCCTCCCGTGACACCTAAGGATTATGGGAACTACAAGAAGAGATTTGGGTGGGGACACAGGCAAACCGTATCAGGGTCTGAGCAGCTGCCTAAATGATCATTTTACTTCCTGCACTGGGTTAGGTGTAGTGGCGCGGGTAAGGGAGGCCAAGCCACAGCCACAGAGTACGAGGAAGACCAGAATGCTGTGGTACTGGGGACACCATCAGAAGAGTTGGGTCAAGAAGAGGATGTGGTTACAATAGCAACTGTGGCCAAGGGACCCAGCACAAACACTGAGCATCCCTTTGATGGAGCGACTCAGACCATCCGCAGATTTGGTGAGAGCAGTGTCCATGGAAGGGCCGGAGTGACATCAGACCTCAGCAGTTAGGAATGAACAGGGCTTGAGGAGGCAGAGGAGACTGCGCCTGGGTCAAGGGAGCATGTTCGTCCACTTGCTTGTTTGTTTGAAATGGAAGAGCTTTGAGTGCTGCTGGGTGGAAGCCACTAAAGGGGAAGAGGCTGCAGACACAAAGAATGGCCCCGTGCACAGTCTCCCACTGTGCAGGCTCTGCCAACACCTGGCTGTGGGCACTGTCGCTGCCCTTCTTGGGGAGGCGAAGAAAGGAGGCTGGGAGACCTGAAGGTCACGCAGCTACTGAGCAGCTTGCTCGAGGTAACTACATGACCTTGGACCAGGGCCCAGGCAGCTCTTCCCACCCCCCTCTCAAGTGCGGCGCTGGCAAGAGGGTCCCTGAGCCAGAGGAGGGGTGGGCAGAGCCTGAGGAGTGCGATGGCCCTGATAGGGATCCCCTCAGGAGCATCTGAGTGGCTGCTGAAATGTCTGAAGCTCTGGTGGCAGGAAACAGGCAGTACACAAAACAGGTGCTTCATTTTCTCATTCAAATCCTGTATTTCTGCGACAGAGCAAGACCCTGTTCTCTAAAAATAAAATACCGTAATCCTCCTTTGTTTCTTCCTCTTCATATTCATACTCACAAATAGCATGTCATCATACTAAAAAGGAAAAGAGTCAGCAGACAGTGGCATGCCAGCAATCATTTTTATTTTGGCTTCACATTTCCAGCCTCATGCATAGGCATACCTAGATTTTCATACTTATCACCACAGGAACATCATTTTATACTCTGCGTTCCTCACCTGGTGTTAGATGAAACACATTTTCCATGGTTCCTCCTGCTCCATCTTTGTGACTGCTCCTTTTGATGGCTGCATGATACTCCATGGATTTACTGCATCCTCATTTTAAAAGTATCCCTCATTTGAAAAGTACTTGAGGCTCTGTCAGTTGTTTTGTTGGTGCTCTCAGTAACGCTGAGATGAATCCCTTTGTGGACATTTTTATTATTCCTCAGCTACATTTTTTATTCTTTTGAGTAATCTCTTTAGGACAGGTGCCCATGTTTGCTGGGTCAGGGAGTGTCGATCAGTATTTGTGCTTCTTGGCACATGACACCAAACTGATCGCTGTAACGGCTGTCTCAGCCAACCTCACCATGGATAGGTTTCCCCAGATCCTTGCTGGCATTGGGTGGTTTTGTTTTTTGTTTTTGGAGGCTGGAGTGCAGTGGCACGATCGTGGCTCACTGCAACCTCTGCTTCCCAGGTTCAAGAGATTCTTGTGCCTCGGCCTCCCGAGTAGCTGAGATTAAAGGCATGCACCACCATGCCTCACTAAATTTTGTAATTTTTAGTAAAGATGGGGTTTCATCATGTTGGCCGGGCTGGTCTCAAACTCCTGACTTCAAGTGATCAGCCTACCTTGGCCTCCCAAAGTGCTGGAATTACAGGTGTGAGCTACCGTGCCTGGTGCATTGGGTGTAATTTTTCTCCCTTCCTATCTATGCTAACTTCATGTCTGTGAAAGAGCAAATTAGTGATTCCTTACTTTGCATTTTTGATGGCTAGGAAGGTGGAACTAATTTCCATTTACTAAAATTAACCAGCTGCAATTCTTTTTGTGTGAAATGTCTGTCTGTATTATCTGTGCATGTGTCTGCTGGAGATTTGATTTTGAGGACTTCGTTGTGCAGTTCAGATCTAGTGCCCTCTTGCCTTGGGAGCTGGCTGCAGATACTGTTCCGAATCCATTTCCTTTTTATTTTAGGTTTTTTCCCTGTGTGCAAGTTTTTTTTTTTTTTTATTGTATTTTGGGCTCTGGTGTACATGTGCACACCCTGCATCCTGCAGGATTGTTGCATAGGTACATACACGCCGTCGTGGTTTACTGTCTCCAGCCCCCCCCCCCCCCCCCCCCCGCTTTCCCCCCCCCCCCCTTCTCCCCCACCCCCCACACCTAGCCCAGTGAGTGTTGTTCTCTTCCCTGTGACCAAGTGTTCTCATTGTTCGTCACCTTCCTATGAGAGAAAACATGCAGTGTTTGGTTTTCTGTTCTTGTGTCAGTTTACTGAGAATGATGGTTTCTAGATTCACCCATGTCTCTACAAAGGACACGAACTCATCGTTTTTTATGGCTGCATAGTATTCCATGGTGTATATGTGCCACATTTGCTTTGACCAGTCTATCATTGATGGGCATTTGGGTTGGTTCCAGGTCTTTGCTATCGTAAACAGCACCGCAATGAACATACATGTGTATGTGTCTTTATAACAGAGTAATTTATAATCCTTTGGGTATATACCCAATAATGGGATTGCTGGGTCAAATGGAATTTCTATTTCTAGATCCTTGAGGAATCACCACACTGTCTTCCATAATGGTTGAACTAATTTACACTCCCACCAACAGTGTAAAAATGTTCCTTTTTCTCCACATCCTCTCCAGCATCTGTTGTCTTCAGATTTTAGTGATCACCATTCTAACCGACGGGAGATGGTATCTCAATGTGGTTTTGATTTGCATTTCTCTAATGACCAGTGATGATGAGCATTTTTTCATATGTTTGTTGGCCATATGTATGTCTTCTTTTGAAAAGTGTCCGTTCATATCCTTTGCACACTTTTGAATGGGCTCGTTTGTTTTTTTCTTGTAAATCTACTTTAGTTCTTTGTAGATTCTGGATATTAGCCCTTTGTCAGATGGGTAGATTACAAAAATTTTTTCCCATTCTGTTGGTTGCTGGTTCACTCTAATGATTGTTTCTTTTGCTGTACAGAAGCTCTTAAGTTTAATTAGATCCTGTTTGTCTATTTTGGCTTTTGTTGCCAATGCTTTTGATGTTTTAGTCATGAAGTCCTTGCCTGTGCCTATGTCCTGGATGGTGTTGCCTAGGATTTCTTCTAGGGTTTTTATGGTGTTAGTTCTTATGTTTAAATCTTTAATCCATCTGGAGTTAGTTTTTGTATAAGGCGTAAGGAAGGGGTCCAGTTTCAGCTTCCTGCATATGGCTAGCCAGTTTTCCCAACACCATTTATTAAACAGGGAATACTTTCCCCATTGCTTGTTTTTGTCTGGTTTGTCAAATATCAGATGGTTGTAGATGTGTGGCATTGCTTCCGAGGCCTCTGTCCTGTTCCATTGGTCTATATCTCTGTTTTGGTACCAGTACCGTGCTGTTTTGATTACTGTAGCCTTGTAGTATAGTTTGAAGTCAGGTAGTGTGATGCCTCCAGCTTTGTTCTTTTTGCTTAGGATTGTCTTGGCTATGCGGGCTCTCTTTTGGTTCCATATGAAGTTTAAAGTGGTTTTTTCCAGTTCTGTGAAGAAGGCCAATGGTAGCTTGATGGGGATAGCATTGAATCTGTAAATTACTTTGGGCAGTATGGCCATTTTCATGTTGTTGATTCTTCCTAACCATGAGCATGGAATGTTTTTCCATCTGTTTGTGTCCTCTCTTATTTCCTTGAGCAGTGGTTTGAGTTCTCCTTGGAGAGATCTTTTACATCCTTTGTCAGTTGTATTCCTAGGTATTTTATTCTCTTTGTAGCAATTGTAAATGGGAGTTTGCTCATGATTTGGCTCTCTGTTTGTCTGTTGTTGGTGTATAGAAATGCTTGTGATTTCTGCACATTGATTTCATATCCTGAGACTTTACTGAAGTTGCATATCAGCTTAAGGAGGTTTGGGGCTAAGATGATGGGGTCTTCTAAATATACGATCATGTCATCTGCAAATAGGGACAATTTGACTTCTTCTTTTCCTAACTGAATGCCCTTTATTTCTTTTTCTTGCCTAATTACTCTGACTAGAAATTCCAATACTATATTGAATAGGAGTGGTGAGAGAGAGCATCCTTGTCTAATACCAGTCTTTAAAGGGAATGCTTCTAGTTTTTGCCCATTTAGTATGATATTGGCTGTGGGTTTGTCATAAATAGCTTTTATTAATTTGAGATACATTCCATTGATACCTAGTTTATTGAGAGTTTTTAGCATAAAGGGCTGCTGAATTTTGTCAAAGGCCTTCTCTGCATCTATTGAGATAATCATGTGGTTTTTGTCTTTGGTTCTGCTTATGTGGTGGATTACGTTTATAGATTTGCATATGTTGAACCAGCTTTGCATCCCCAGGATGAATCCTACTTGATCATGGTGGATAAGCTTTTTGATGTGCTGTTGCCAGTATTTTATTGCAGATTTTTGCATCACTGTTCATCATGGATATTGGCCTGTAGTTTTCTTTTTTCATTGTATCTCTGCTGGGTTTTGGTATCAGGATGATATTGGTCTCATGGAAAGAGTTAGGAAGGATTCCCTCTTTTTGTATTGTTTAGAGTAGTTTCAACAGGAATGGTACCAGCTCCTCTTTGTACATCTGATAGAATTTGGCTGTGAACTCATCTGAACCTGGACATTTTTTGGTTGGTAGGCTGTTAATTGCTGCCTTGACTTCAGACCTTGTTATTGGTCTATTCAGGGTTTCCACTTCTTCCTGGCTTAGTCTTGGGAGTGTGCAAGTGTCCAGGAATTTATGCATTTCTTCCAGATTTACTGGTTTATATGCATAGCGCTGTTTATAGTAATCTCTGATGGTAGTTTGTATTTCCGAGGAATCGGTGGTGATCTCCCTTTATCATGTTTTATTGCATCTATTCAATTCTTCTCTATTTTCTTTTTTATTAGTCTAGCTAGCGGTCTATTTTGTTGATCTTTTCAAAAAACCAACTCTTGGATTTGTTTTTTGAAGGAATTTTTGTGTCTCCATCTCCTTCAGTTCTGTTCTGATCTTAGTTATTTCCTGTCTTCTGTTTGCTTTTGAGTTTTTTCAATCTTGCTCCTCTAGCTCTTTCAATTTAGATGATAAGGCGTCGATTTTAGGTCTTCCCTTGTTTCTCATGTGGGCATTTGTTGCTATAAATTTTCCTCTAGACACTGCTTTAAATGTGTCCTATAGGTTCTAGTACATTGTGTCTTCATTCTCGTTGGTTTCCAAGAACATTTTTATTTCTGCCTTCATTTTATTGTTTATCCATTCATCATTCAGGAGCAAGTTGTTCCGTTTCCATGTGATTGTGCAGTTTTGAGTGCTTTTCTTAATCCTGAGTTCTAATTTGATTGCACTGTGGTCTGAGAGACTGTTATGATTTCTGTTCTTTTGCATATGCTGAGTAGTGATTTACTTCCAATTATGTGGTCAATTTTAGAGTAAGTGTGATGTGGTGCTGAGAGGAATGTATATGCTATGGATTTGGTCTATTAGGTCTGCTTGGTCTAGATTTGCGTTCAAGTACTGGATATCCTTGTTGACTTTCTGTCTCGTTGTTCTGTCCAATATTGTCAGTGGAGTGTTAAAGTCTCCTACTATTATTGTGTAGGAGTCTAAATCTCTTTGTAGGTCATTAAGAACTTGCTTTATGTATCTGGGTGCTCCTGCATTGGGTGCATATATATTTAGGATAGTTAGCTCTTCTTGTTGCATCGATCCTTTTACCATTATATGATGCCCTTCTTTGTCTCTTTTGATCTTTGTTGGCTTAAAGTCCGTTTTATCAGAGACTAGGATCGGCACCCCTGCCTTTTTTTTTGCTCTCCATTTGCTTGGTAGATTTTCTTCCATGCCTTTATTTTGAGTCTATATGAGTCTTTGCACTTGAGATGGGTCTCCTGAATACAGCACACTGCTGGGTCTTGCCTTTTTATCCAGTTTGCTGGTCTGTGTCTTTTGATTGGGGCATTTAGGCTATTTACATTCAACGTTAATATTGTTATGCTTGAATTTGATCCTGCCATTTTGTGACTGGCTGGTTGTTTTGCCATTAGTTGATGTGGTTTCTTCATTGCGTCATTATTTTTTACCATTTGGTATGTTTTTGCAGTGGCTTTTACTGGTTGTTCCTTTCCATGTTTAGTACTTCCTTCAGGAGTTCTTATAAAGCAGTCTTGTAGCAACAAAATCTCTCAGCAATTGCTTGTCGGTAAAGGATTTTATTTCTCCTTCACTTATGAAGCTTAGTTTGGCCAGATATGAAATTCTGGGTTGAAAGTTCTTTTCTTTAAGGATGTTGAATATTGGCCCCCACTCCCTTCTAGCTTGTAGAGTTTCTGCCGAGAGGTCCACTGTGAGTCTGATGGTCTTTCCTTTGTGGGTGACTTGACCTTTCTGTCTGGCTGCCCTTAGAATTTTTTCCTTCATTTCAACCATGGTGAATCTGAGGATTATGTGCCTTGGGGTTGCTCTTCTTGAAGAATATATCTTTGTGGTGTTCTCTGTATTTCCTGGATTTGAATGTTGGCCTGCCTTGTTAGGTTGGGGAAGTTCCCTGGGATAATATCCTGAAGACTGTTTTCCAACTTGGATTCATTCTCCCCGTCACATTCAGGTACACTGATCAAACGTAGATTAGGTCTTTTCACATAATCCCATAGTTCTTGGAGGTTTTGTTCATTTTTTTTTT